CTCAGCCCGCTGTCTTCGGGGCTCCGTCCCCAGCCCGCTGGCCCGGCTTCCCTCCTCCCCGCCCCCCAGTGCTGGAGGGAGGAGGAATCCGCCTCCTAACGCCCCCGCCTGCAACCGTCCGGGCTCCGCACTCCGTCACCGCGGTTAAAAACAGACCATACTGCAGTGCGCCGCGGACGGAACCTTTATCTCCACGATCCAGAAGAGTGAGGGAAGAAGGATCGTTGGAACGCGCCGTGACTGCGGTGTCTCCTGGGACTTGTAGTCCACACCCGCTGATTGTGAATGGTACTCGTCCCCTTTTGGTGTGAACCTTACTGGTTCTTCTGCTTACACGCTCTCCTCGCTTAAAAAAGTGTTCCTACTCCCGGCGTAAGTGTCTCTGAGCAGAGAGAGGAGCTGCAGGACCCGGTCGCCAGCAGAAGCGGGGTGCCTTACAGAAAGATTCTAATAGCAAAGAAAAGGAAGGAAACAGGACGGAAGCCAGTAATATCTCCATGGTTACCCTAATGGCTCTGAATTTCTGGATACAGTAGATACTGGGGAACTGGGTAAAAATACCCTCGAAGTAGGGAAATCCCTCATGTTTGTGTTTCCTCCTTTTCTTTTCTTCCTTTTTAAATATATTTTTATTTATTTCAGAGAGGAAGGGAGAGAGAGAGAAACAATTATGAGAGAGAAGCACTGATCAGCTGCCTCCTGCATGCCTTCCACTGGGGATCAAGCCCGCAACCCAGGCATGTGCTCACAGAATCTAACCGGGATCCTTCAGTCCGCAGGCCAAGGCTCTATCCACTGAGCAAACCGGCTAGGGCTCCTGCTCCTTTTCTGACTTTCCTTCTCCAAGTGTGGGAAAGGGATGTGTGAAAGGTTCGATAAAGAGCTTTAAACTGAAGCTCATTTGGTTTCTTGAAGTAGAGAGCTGGTTAAAGGGAAGTTGAGGTTTGTAGCCTTCCAAACAGGTTCTAATAATCTTAATTTGGCTTCTGCTAATATAGAACACTTTCATTCACACAGACTGTCAAGGAGCCCAGAACACGAATGCAGAGGAGACAAAACTTGACAACCACCTCTTTTTCGCCTCCTGCTTTCTCTCCCCTCTTCTCTAGGCACAGAACCCTCCTGTCTTTCTTGATGTGAAAAGACCCCCATATTTCACCCAAGCCAGACTTCTCTGACAGCCTGAATAATGTAGTTCCTCAACTGAACTTAAAGAGACTGTAGTTTGAGTCTGAACTCCCCCAGTGCCTGCCTTGGGACCTATGAAGTAAGGGTTTTGACTAGTTGATCTTCAAGCCCTTTGGGCTCTAAAATGTTAAGTCTTGCTTTTAAATCCTTGCTTCTGTCTCCCAACATCTCATCCCTTGGGTGCAGGTACTCTAGCTAAGTCCTGTCATGATAATTGGATTAGTTCCGTGTAAAATGTGAAGGCTTTATCTTTTTAGCGTGTTACAAAAAGGGGTCTCTGGTTCACATAATCTCTATTTGGTAAAAGCCTTTGAAGGGTCCTGGTAAAGAAGGAGCCTCAAGCTCCTTCTCATGTACTCCCTTCTACTTGCTCACATATTCTTCACTGGTCACTCCTCATCTTTGCAAGACCCCACAGACAACCCATAAAAAGGCTCAGGGAAACAAAAAGGAAAATACAAAATGGAAAGTTTAATTATACAAGAGGGTTGATATTATTCTTAAAAATGAAGAAGAAGCACAGTAACAAAGCAATGTATGATGACTTGCTACACAAAATAATTTCTAGCGAAGATCAGATGAGAGAGTACTTGGGCTGGAATTGCCCAGAAAAGGAATAGGGAATGAATATCTACTGAAGATAGGAAAATTTGGATAGGCAGAATTAACCAGTTAACTGCCATGTGTCCAAAACGGAAACCATCCCCACACGCCACGATATTTTGAATTTAATTTTAAAAATCAATTTGCAATGAATATTATAAAAATAAATGTATTACAATTCGGGTGTTCTTGAATATTTTCAGTTGAAAATTCTCAGGAAAAAATGATTTTTTAAAGCCTCTATAGACACGGCATACAAAAGGTTCATCAGGGAGGGCATTGTGTTAGGTA